GACACGCACACGGACATGGACACGGACACGGACACCCACACGCACACGGACACCCACACGGACACGGACACGCACACCCACACACACACGGACACGGACACGCACACCCACATTGACACGCACACGGACACGCACACCCACACACAGACACGCACACCGACACACACACGCACACCCACACCCACACACAGACACGCACACGCACACCCACACGGACACACACCCACACACAGACACGCACACGGACACGCACACCCACACACAGACACAGGCACGCACACCCACACGCACACTGACACCCACACGCACACCCACACGCACACTCACACGGACACTCACACCCACACGCACACTCACACCCACACGCACACGCACACCCACACCCGCACGGACACCCACACGCACACCCACCCGCACACCCACACGCACACTCACGCGCACACTCACACGGACACTCACACCCACACGCACACGCACACCCACACCCGCACGGACACCCACACGCACACCCACCCGCACACCCACACGCACACTCACGCGCACACTCACACGGACACTCACACCCACACGCACACGCACACCCACACCCGCACGGACACCCACACGCACACCCACCCGCACACCCACACGCACACTCACGCGCACACTCACACGGACACTCACACCCACACGCACACGCACACCCACACCCGCACGGACACCCACACGCACACCCACCCGCACACCCACACGCACACTCACGCGCACACTCACACGGACACTCACACCCACACGCACACGCACACCCACACCCGCACGGACACCCACACGCACACCCACCCGCACACCCACACGCACACTCACGCGCACACTCACACGGACACTCACACCCACACGCACACGCACACCCACACCCGCACGGACACCCACACGCACACCCACACCGCCAGGAGTCCAGGGCCCTGTGTTCCCGCTCCCCACCCCCCAAAGCTGTGGGCAAACGGGGCTTGTAGGATTTTATTTTGCTCGGTTGCTTCGCTTTTTAAAAACACATCTATTGTTTCTACAGATGTGTGGGGGCAAAGCTCGAGCCGTGACCCCACAGCGGCGCTGAGCCCCAAGGCCCTGCAGCTCCCCGGCCTCCAGCCAGGCCCTCCCAGCAGTCACTTAGGGCAGCGCTTTGGGGCTCAGGCAAAACCCCTGTGAAACAGGCCTTGGCTGAACTAAGAACCCGCCCAGCATTTTACCCCAGAAAACGGCAACAGCTCAGCTGGGGCTGAGGGTTGGGATGGGGGGAAAAGGCTGACTCAGGCTGTTTTCTCTTTCTCAGGAAAAATGACTTAGAGCTGCCGCTTTTGTCACAAGATTCTGGGGAACTGGAACAATAACTGATGAACAATAACATTCAATTTCCCGTCTGCCCTACTTTTGGCACGCTCATCCGACCACACGTAGCTGGAAATCCACAGGTAAAACAGGGTGACACTCTCCCTCACTCCCTTAATTTATGTGGTATTGTTCAAGTATTATTCCCAACAGAAAAACCAGATGTATAAAGGGAAACCTGCACAGTCCTCCCTCTCAAGCTCTGGGGTAAAAGCCGGTACACACCCCCACAAAGGAGCACAGAGAGACAATGGCTGAAGGAGGAGCCCAAATCACACCCTGCCCCAGCTGCTCTCAGGCCCATCAGAGCGATCAGCACATCAAAGGCCCCGTTTTCACACCCCCAGAGGAGCGCAGGAGCACAATGGTAGGGTGCAACCCCCCCCTTCAGAACTGAGAGGAAGGTGTCCATCCCAGGGCTGTCCCAGGAGAGCCACCAGTCCCATTGTCTAGGTGTGAAACTCACCAGGAGGTCAGTGACTGGGAGCACATCTGCACACAGGGCACTGGCCACAGGGTGCAGGGGAAGGTGGTTTGGGGACTGCACAGGATTTACCATGGGATGTTTAGGGAATGAACCAAAGGAGGGGAAGGTGGGATAAGGAGAAAAAAGGGCCAATTGCATGTAAACTGTTGGCTGGCCAAAACGTGTGTCCAGCCTTGCCCTGAACTTGACCAGAGTGAATGGGTCTGCAGCAGAAACAGACGTGGGTCTTCAGCCTTGGGCTCTCATATGCTAAAGTGCCAGCAACTGGGGAGACTGGGATCCAAGAGTAGACTGACTGTCTGCGCCCAGCTCCTGCAAGGATCCACCTTTTGCTTGTGAGCATATGTGTATGTAAATAAATGTATATTTCCCACTCACAGACCTCCATCCTGCTCAGTTTAGGAAGGGAATAGGATGAGGCCATTGGTGCTGTTGGTAAAAGTGCTTTGTGTCTCTGTGTAGCTAAGTGGCAGCTGTGTGTATATGTGGTGTATGTGTGCATTTGTGTACATGAGCCTACTGGGAATACACTCAGCCTTGCTACTGGTTGCACCTGGGAGCAAGGAGCTGTGGCAGCCTGGTCTCTATCAGGGTGCCAGATCCATGTCTTCCATTCACTAACACTTTTTGTTTGACTAATCTTGGCTCACATTTATTTTTCTTTTTACTAGTTGCTTTTATTTATTTTTTTTCCCAAGCATAGCAGACTCCTGGCAATAGCTCTGGAAATACTAATTTACTGGTGAGTGTGGGATGTTGCCATCTTTGGGGAGGCCTTAAGCACATCCAAATTTCAGAGGCAATCTCCAAACTGAAAAAAAAGCATTATTCTGAAATAAAAGCCTCGTTTCTAGTATATTCTTGACCCACATGACTCTTGTAAATGCTGAGCAGTCCAGACTTCAAGATTATATTAAATACATATGTAGCTACCAGTCCAACTTAGAAGCAGTAAGGGTTTAGCTGAAAAATACATCTCTAACACATGCTGCAGAACATAGTGGGTGGCACTTCCTTATCTGTACTGAGCTAGTGGAGTAAGCAGCAGTAAGAAAGAGACACAAGCTGAATATGCATCACTGAAAACCAAATTACACTAAGGGATGTGGGGAAAATACCCTACCCTCCCATTTCAGTGAGTTTTACCCCAGCCTGAATTAATCTGCAGGTGCTCAAATATTTAGATTTGAAGTTTGCATCACAGTCTGTTCCTCCTAAAAATCAGTTTTGTCTCTGTGCTAGGACACACACCCACCTCCCACATCACAGATCATTCTTCTGAAGATCAGCTGTTGAGGGAAGTACCTTAATAACTCCTTGGCAGAGTTATCTGATACTGCACCAACTAAAACTATCTGCCTAGTCTTTTTTGTGAATAGAATACTCGTGCATTGTGCAAAGTGCATTGAGTGCACTAGTATTAAGGCCAGCTGCAGGTTGCCAGTGGTCAGCCAGCCAGAATATTTCTAAGGGAACAGCCAGGCAGAACCAGGTCCAGGTAGAACTTGATGCTGGCTGCCCCATATTAAACATCAGTGTCCTAACTGTGGAGCTGTGGGGACTGGAAAAGTCTCATCTTTTGCTTAACAAGTTTTTTTCTTTTTAGCTTTGAGAACACTTGCATGTTTCAACTAGTGCATGCCAACTAATGCATCATTTCCAAGTAACTTCTATTTTCTGAAGACAGCTGTTTTAATCAGACAACGCCTATCTAGCATTAAGCAAGAGCCCCAACAACAGGCCCCAACAACAGTTCTTAACTTATGTCAGAGACTGGAGCTGGCAAATGACCCCGCAGAAACACCTTACTAAGGCTTTCTGAGAATGTCAGAAGAGCTCCAACAAGCAGAAGTCTCTGGCAAACACATTTCATGTGCAGAAAGAAGGCCTTGGCTCAGGGGGCAAGTGGGGAGGAAACACAAGGTATTGGGTGCTAAAAAAACCCACATTTTTTATCCTGTCCATACCTCCACAACTTCATGGGAATAGAGACTGATCAACAAGGACCGAGCAACCACATGGTCATTACTCTGCTGTCCCAGCTCCTGGCAAGCTGTGCTTCACCTTACACTAGCTGCTTTTTCATATCTGCCTAACTTTCCTTTAATGGTGCTTCCCCACACCATGAAGCCCTTTCCATTGTTTCTCTCTCTCCCTTCCAAGTTCAGCTAATCCCTTCTCATGTTTCTTTTTATTTTGCCTGAAGAACAAATTCTTCAGAGATAAGAGGAGCAGGGACAAGGAGGATTATTATGCAGTGTTTGCCTTAAGAGATGATTTTGTACTTCTGTTTTCTGTGTTGACAACAAAAGAGCATTCAGAACAAAGGAGAGAGAATGAGAGCCAGCAAGGGCCAGATGCTTCCCCCACAAGCCATGAGTAACTTCCATTGTTGAGAGGAGCTGAGAAGGAGTGGGAAAAAGGAGGAAAGATAAAAGAGAGAAACAAGATGAAGGGTGGAGAGTAGGTTGGCCCGTAAACAACAGGGGGTTGAGACGGGGAGGAGAGAACCAATGGAGAGACAGAGAGCAAAAACAAAAAGGAAAAGGCATAATGAGGTGAAGAAAGGAAGTACTAAAACAGTTTAGAAATGCAAGGCAAAGGAACAAAAGAGAAAAGGAAGGAAAAGGCAGCAGTGAAATACCCGCGGAAATGGGATTACAGATAGATAAAAAAATGAACACAGAAAGAGGTACAGAAGGAAAGGGCACAATTAACCAACTAGGGGAGCACAAACACAGCACTGGAGAGCTCATGGCATTGAACCGGTCACTTTTATCCTCTGCCCTCTACCACGGTGAAATGTAGGTTGGAGCTAATATCTCTGAGAACTTTCTCTATTAACCCAGTCAATTAATCAAATCACTGAAGTGAAAAGTTTTTAATACTTCAACAATCGCTTGCAAGGAGGAAGTAATATTTGAAAAAAAAAAAATAAAAAAAAAATCTGCAGAACCAACATTTAATACTTGCAAAGAGGCAGCAACCTTAATTCAAAAAATGGAATAGTTCTGCAGAAGTCAGCAGGCCGGAGAGTAAACCATGAGCAGCAGCATCATCTTGAAAATTCTGTTTCCTATGTCAGTGCCATGTCAGAGACATGATAACCCCCAGAAGGTCCTGCCCAGCATCTAGGCCACAAGCCTACTTTTTTTTTTTTCTGATTGACATTGCCTGAGCAACCAGGCTTTCTAGCAAGGAGAAGAGTTACCTACCTGTGCATTTGCCCTTTTCTTGTGCTGTCTGTTTATATTGTTTTACTCTAATATTGGTTCACATCTAAGAACAGCAATAATGAATTATGTGCATGTGACTCACAAAGAATGTTGTAAATATATTGTTTCTGTAAGTAACTGCCCTTCTTATGATCTCTCTTAGTTTCTGCCTCCTTTTCTCTGGAGCCTTACAGACAATAGGTGAATTACACCTGAAACTGACCCAAAGGCCTGGTCCTAGTCCTGTGGGTGGCTGGGGAGGTGGAGGCACAAGCAGAGCTGTCATGGGAGCTCAGGGGAATAAGCAGCAGGAGGCTGCAGGGCAGGACTGAGAGGCTTTGTCCAAAATACCTGTGGTGAGACTTTTTTTATGTATCAGCCACTGCATTTCCCTGTGGTTTTCTCCAGGCTGAGCAGGACACTGACTTTGAAGGACAATGTAAGAAAACAACCTAGATAATGAAGTTCAGTTAAAAGCCATCAGCATAAATAGAGAAAATAAATTCTACTGAGCAGAAAAGTTATTAAGAGAATTTCCTAGCAAAGTCCTGAGCAGCAATATAGCAATAGGAAAATACACCCAGTTCAGGAGAGGGGATGGGCTGGGGATTGGTTCATGAAGAGTTCTGGAGAGGAACAGAAGGTTAGGGTTGCTGTTCAGTTGAGACCTCAGATGCTCCTTCCCTCCTTTTCCCAACAGCACATGCATAAGGAGGGGGTTGTTTTTCATAAGTTTTCACAAAACAAATCTTTACTTCATATTTATCAAGAAAATACTACATTCTGGTGTAAAAAATATTATTTCTTAAGGAGGGGAACCAATTTTTCTCTAGCAGACATAAAAAGAAGCCCTCTTTGGGATGTGCAAGACACCACACCAGCCTGACAAAGGGATGGTGGGAAGTTTGACCAATGCAGCTAGACAATGCTCTCTAGCTACTCAACCAGCTCCCGTGTTTTAGTCACACTGATACCGATCAGAAAGCACAGGGTTCCCCACAACAGCATGTTATGCCTAGCCTGGTCAATCCAGCACCAGTGCAACAGGTGCTGGGAAATGCTGCCTGTTGGCACATGGAGCCAGTCTGGGCCTGCACACCATGGCACCAGGTGGAGGC